GTCTTGGCCAGGCGGGTGAGCTGCAGGCGGGCAATCTCAGCGGGGGTGTTCTGCAGGCGCTGGACGGAGCCAACCTCGCTCTCGGCGGAGCCAGCGGCGCTGCCGGGGTGCAGAGCCTTGGCCGAGGAGAAGACGTCGGTGTCGAAGGTGAGGACACCGGAGATGTGGTCGACGCGGATGGCGAGATCGCCCTTCTTGCAGCCGTTCATGATGAACTTCTCGATCATGGAGGGGGTGATCTGGAAGGGGTCGGGGAACTGAGCCAGCTCGTAGACGAATTTGAGCTCGACCGACTCATAGACCTGAGACAGCTGCTGGAAGAGACGGGTCAGGATGACCTGCTGCAGAGGCAGGACGTACTTCTCCATCTCGGGGTCGGCACCGATCTGCTTGAGGATGGGGGTGATCTTCTTGCAGATGGACAGGGGGTGGAAGTCCACCTCCAGGATGTTGTAGAGGTCACGGATCTCGGGGCGGGCGCGCTTGAGCAGACCCTTGTTCAGGGCATCCTTGAACAGCACAGCACGAGTGGGGGGAGAGGCCATACCCAACAGGTTGGTGAGACGGGTGTTCTTGTTCTTGCGGACCTCATCCACATCGACCAGGGCACCGCGGGAGCGGGAAGTGCTGATGACGGGGATGGACAGGGCGGACAGCAGGACGAAGGAGGCGGCCTTGGTCATGTCGGCCTCGGTGACGGAGGGGTTCTCCTTCTTGGTGCCCTGGCCAGCAGCCAAAGCGGCAGCGGACTGGCGGAGGAGGTTGTAGTAACGGCTGAAGGCCGCGGCGTGGAAGAGGTAATTCTCGCTAACCAGGAAGATACGGGCCAGCTTCTCGTAGTAGTTGGCCATCATGACGTTCTTGGCGGGACGCTTGCTGAGGCTGAGGAGGGTGTGGATATCCTCAATGCTGCGGAAGGCCTCCTGCCACAGCTCCAGCTCGACGGCAACGTTCAGCTGCTGGAAACGGGTGTCCAGGTGGCGCTGGAGAGTGTCCGGGTCGCTGAGGTTGATGGCGTGCATCTGAGCGGAGTACTTGGCGGCATTCTGGACGTGGTTGCGGAGCAGCTCGCACAGACGGCGGAACTCGGTCTTGCGGGTGTACTTGAGACAGAACTGGAAGGCCTGCAGGGCGGTGGTCTGGTACATAACCTCAAGACGGGCATTGTTCTTGAGGATTTCGAGCACGGTGCGGTAGGTCTCCCAGAGGAACTTGAGCCAAGGGGTGACAACAGCACGGTCAGTGCGGTCGCGGGACTGCTCACCGGAGACGGTGGCGAGCAGGATGGTCTCGGGGGTCTCGATGGCTTCCAGATCGTCCACGTTGGACGAAGGGGCAGCGGACTCGAGAGAAGACTGAATCTCATCGGCCTTGGCCTGGGCCTCGGTGACCTTCTTCTCGGCGAGTTCGATGAACTTCTTGAGAACAACCTATACCGGTGCAGGGTTAGATGCTGTTGGTCGGGGGAGCATGAAAGGGGGATGTAGTGTGTAAAAGAAAAATTTCTCCTACCTCGATCGTTCCGACGTTGGTGTTCTGGGCGATGTTCTTGTACTGGTAGAGACCATCCTTGGCGGCCTTGCCCTTGCGAAGATCAACACACAGCTCAACGAAGAGGAGCATCACCGGCTCCAGAGAGGCGATGGGGCTGCTGCGCGTCCGCTTGGAGGTGACATGTTCGTGAAGGACGTTGAGGGCGGCGGGGGCCTGGCCCACGGCGATGAGTTCCTGAGCCCTCTGCGGACAGAATACCGGTCAGCATGAATTTTCCATCACCATATGGTTTCCCATCCCATTCCCACGACGACACATCACTTCGACATTATAATCGAGATAGTATTCGGAAGAAGTAACCGGGCTGGCGTACCTTGAGGACATTTTCAGGCTTGATGTGAGGCGGAGGCGGCATGGTGGGCGAGATAGCGGGTTGGGATAAGCGATCACAATATGGTGGATGAGGACGACGATGCTATCCTTCGACTGGGAGAAGGTCGAGAGGGAAGAAAAGGCACGTCGGATCGCACAACGACGGGCGGGCAGCAGGGGAGTCGAGGGCGAAAAGAGCCTTGAGGATAGAAAGGCTGCCACGCGACGGTCGGCGAGAAAGACCCAGACAAGAAAACGTCAGGCAGTCAATCTTGTTGAGAAAGACAGACAAGGGCGACTCTCTCTTCTCGCTCTCTGACTCTCTCGTTGTGCGAACCGCGAAAATTCCGGCCGCCGCCGTTCCCACTTTGGGTTAAGCGATGCGGGTCACGTGGTATCCCCGTGTTTATGGCTTGGGATTCACGGAGTTGCCCCATGGAATGAATCGTAGTAGTCATATATTTCTTTCCATTCCATTGAAGACATACCTCTATTTTGGTCGATATTCCCCATTTTGAGAGTGGCGGTTGTGCTCCTCAGCCACCTCGGGGAGCTGTTCTCATTCCTCCCTCGTCTCGCCTCCGTAACTCGGCAGTGGGGGACACTGTTTGGCCCGTTTGAGACGATCACTTGGAAGGAAGGAAGAACAGGTTGTAATGAACGCGTCCAAGCTTCTGAACCATCGACTAGTGTGTCTAGATAGAAATAAAACATACGATTGACAGGGTTGCGACAGCAAACGAGAGTGCTGCTGCTGCTGCTGATGAAGAAGGGGGCGGGAGTATAATCAGGAGCCACGGAGTACTAGTATGGGGGGGAAAGAGTGCTCAGGGATTGGATGGTATGGATCAAGCAGTGATCCATCCACGTGAGGCTAATGAGCCTCCTCCATAAAATCATGCTACAACAAACAATTCAATTCATGGCTATAATAAGAATCAGAGGTGCAAAGAAAGCTGCATGAGGGAGGGTGCAACCTTGACGCAAAACGGAAAAACGCCTGTTAGAAAGCCTTTTGTGCTGACTGCATCCGAGCTATCCAGTTAGTTAGTTATCCAGCTACCAACTAAAGTGACTAGTTCAGTTCAGGGGGGGAAGAAGAAGAATTATGGATTCCAGTGGGAAATGAACGGATTGCCCCTGCGACTCACAGACCACCTCTTCTCTCGCTCGCTCGCTCTCTCTCTTTCTCTTTCTCCAATATACTGCTACTGCCAGTAATTCCTCCCCCCCAAACTACTACTAACCAAACTCAACTAATACTAAGACTAAACTAACTTCCCATTTTCCCTCTCTTTTCCCTCCTTCCCCCCCCCCTCTTTTTTCCCTTTTTTCCCTTTTTCCCTCCGGTCCAGCAGTAGTCGTTCGCTTTCCTTTTTGCCCAGCAAATCCTCCTGGTTCTTCCTGCTCTCCCTAATTCTTCTTCTTCTTCCTCTTCTTACTTACTTTGTCTGATTCTTACTCACGTTCAATATCGTGAAGTCGAGTTCAGCCTCTCTTCCCCCTTCCATTCATTCTTTAGAAATCAATTCCTCGGAGACCCCCTCTCTCTTCTTCAGGTTCCCTCCCTCCTCCGGTCGCTGTTCCCACTTACATTCCCTCTTCCCTCCCTCCCTCATAATCGTCTCCATCCCCAAAGTTCCTCCTCCCACCACCACCACCTCCTCCCTTTTCGCGTCCGCCCGCCGTTCCCGCCCGGCTTTGCTTTTCCCCTTACTTCCTGCCGGCTCGACGCGCAAAAAAGAACCTTAAGCTGAGCCGCCCGACCGATCCTGCTGAATCCACCAC